TGCATAATCTAGAGGCAGTTCTTGTAAACAAGATTGCTTTTGGCTAAGAGAAGATCAATACCATCTCTGTACTGTATATGAGGCTGGCAGCGGATTAGTGGTGTACTCACAATGGCTTCTGTTGCCTTGTACTACTCCTGAGCATGAATGACCCCCTCCCCACTCCCCGGCTGGTCCACTCTCACACTGTGCTTAATGACTTGGGCCAAAGTGTGCTTCAGTTTGTCTCAGAGTTTCAGCGCCTCACTCTTGTGCTTCCTCTCTATATTGTTCACCTTTTAAAAGTGCTCTTATTTGCAGAGCTGAATGAGTTTATAATATGTATTTTGTTGCTTAACTGTGGTAATTTTTGAAAATGGTGATGCACTGTATTAATTTATTAACTGACACAGTGATGGAGAGTCATGCTTAGGCACCATTACCAATCATTCGGGTTGGGAATCGAGAATCGAGTAGTCCCATTCCTTGGAATCGTTAGTCTGCCTGCCTATCGATCCCGATTATCGGTTCTTGCACTCTCGCTATGATCAGCTGATTTCAGTTCATGTGTCAGAGTAGGGAAATAGTGGCGCAGTTTACAGCATGGATATGGGCATTACTTTTATTTTTATTGCACAAAAGGATGAGGGCGGGATGGTAAAATGGAGATTGATCCAGGACAAAACCAAGTGAATCATACTGTTAACACAACTTCGGCTCTTCGCACGCACCTGCAGAGACAGCATGCTAACGCTGAAACAGCCATAAAACACAGAGTAATGTTAAGCCTGAGTGAATGCTTATCCCCGCCCACCACTGTGATAAAGTGAGCCTCCATTTGTGGATGAAGCTAGCTGCTGCTAAACTTCAACAGGTAATAAACTGATAAGCATTCAGGCAGTCAGCAGTCTACCTTTTAAAAAGTAGAATCACTGTGGCAATTGCTTTAAAGTCTCTTTGTGCTGGTTTTCATCTTTGATTTGTGCTCTCGGCTTTGTGTTCATACTTAAATGCTAAGAGAAAGATCACGTGTGTCATCATGATAGGGATTTGTGTTGGTGTGTGGGGTTGTAACCTCAGGTTTATATTGTGTTTATTATATTGTGTTTCAATTAATTTTACAGAGTAACATGACATTCACTTAATGAGTAGTATTTACACCCAGGATGAATGTCTTTATTCTGGGTGTAAATAAGTAATGTACTGCGTTACTACTAAGAAAAGTGAAAACTTTTTTACATTACTTTTTTGAGTAATAACCCCAACACTGATCACAGCAAAGACGTTAAATACCTCCAAACATTCAACCATGCAGCATGTAATTAATTTGCATGAATGTAATGTCTTTGATACGCTGCTTAGAGATGGTGGTGACTCTCAAAGTGGAGCCAATGGGAATCACTAAGGAATTGAAACGATAAG